TTTTTAAAAAATGCTATTTTTTGGGGCTGGCCCCGTGGCCAAGTGGTTAAGTTCACATGCTCCGCTGTAGGCGGCCCAGTGTTTCGTTGGTTCGAATCCTGGGCACAGACATGGCACTGCTCATCAAACCACGCTGAGGCAATGTCCCACATGCCACAACTAGAAGGACCCACAATGAACAATATACAACCATGTACCAGGGGGCTTTGGAGAGAAAAAGGAAAAAAATAAAATCTTAAAAAAAAAAATGCTATTTTTGTAAAAATCTATTTTTCTGTGGAAAATACTGAAAAGTTACACACAAAAAGATTAATAATGGTTAGTATGACAAAAAGGTAACACTGTTTCTACACTGATTATATTTCATAAGGAAAAAAATGAAAGCATTTGAAATTTTCTTTAACGGAGGTGACTAAAAAAAGGACAACGGCCCTCAATATTCTTGTCCTCTCTTGACAAAAACTAAATCACCACTTCGGAGGCCTGGGGTTCGTCAGTTCGGATCCCGGGTGTGGACATCAAAAAAAAAAGCAAACCCTAAATCAGAGGAAATGACAGCCAGAAATGAGACAGGGAACTAAATGGCCTGATGGTGAAGGAAACATCAAGAGACATGGGTATTAGACTAATGGCCCTCAAATTTGAGTATCCATCAGAACCATCTGGTGGGCTTTTTCAGACAGATTGCTGGGGCCCACCCCTACAGTTTATTTATTTATTTTTTTTAAGGAAGATTAGCCCTGAGCTAACTGCTGCCAATCCTCCTCTTTTTGCTGAGGAAGACTGGCCCTGAGCTAACATCCGTGCCTATCCTCCTCTACTTTACATGTGGGACACCTACCACGGTATGGCTTTTGCCAAGCAGTGCCATGTCCTCACCCAGGATCCGAACCAGCGAACCCTGGGCTGCCAAAGAAGCACAACGTGTGCACTTAACCGCTGCGCCACCAAGCCGGCCCCCACCCTACAGTTTAAATGGGTAGGGGGAAGAGGGGTACCAAGAATTTGCAATTCTAACAAATTGCCAGGTGATGCTGCTGCTGCTGGCTTAGAAACCACACTTACCACTGGAAAAGTGTAAAAGAGGCTACAGGATAGAAATGAGAAGTAGAAACCAGTACATCTTAAGAACCTTACAGTTTACAAAGCACTTGCATGTCTATTTTCTCCTTTAATTTAAACCTCTTACCAACCTATAAACTATTAAACCATCCCTATTTTATAGAAAAGGAAATGACGCTCAGAGTTCAAGTGACTTGCTCAAGATCATATAAGTTAAGGCAGAGCCTATACTCTAAATCCATGACAGGAAAGAAATGTAAAATACCCATGGGACATAGGAGTTCAGGGAAGAAGACTCCCAAGAATTCTCACGGGTCTTCCCAATACGTACATGCTTGGCCTGCTCTGCAATCTCAGCATGGCTCTTCTCCCATTTTGGGCCCTTGTTAGCCAGGTCAGCAGCCTGGGGTAAGCTAAGCCCCTCCAGGGGCACTGTGGCACCATCTGGGGGCCCTGGAGGTCCATCCAGAGAGGAATCTTGAGCTATATGCTGGGGGGAGATGCCACCTGCCCCACTAGAGGCTGGGGAACTGGATGAGGCAGGGGACACAGGATTGCTGCCTGTCATGCCGTCCGACACCATCTAGAAAAGGGGAGAATGATACATAAAATGAATCCTTAGCACTGTATCACAAGTTTTAAGTACACTATTTCCTTCTATCTTCACAAAAAAAAACCTCTGGAGTAAGACATCAACCTTATTTTTATAAACACAAACATTTGGAATAAAGTTTTAATAAGGGGCTCAATATGGCAGAGCCAAGTTTATGGCAGATGCTTGGCATGCAAGAGAAGTTATAGCCTGACATTTATGCAGTTCCCAAATCCAAGAATACTACTATAGCGTATGATTTCATATTTTTAATGATCCTTTCAGAACCTCAATGATTTCACTCACATAAACAACTCCCTATTTTTCCCTCCTTTTCAGAGCAAGCATGGCAGATTCACCTACGCAAATAAATGTGAGCTACCACTAAATTCAAAGGGCATCAAAAAAACCAAAATCACCTAAACCTCTACAATCATGATAAGCCTTGGTAGTTTCCTTTACTAGAGAGGTGGGAGGTGGGAAAGGGGGTTGGTCACTGTTTTCAAACACCCACCTACTACTTTACAAGGTACTGCACAAGCAGTAAAAAGTAGAGAACAAAATCCTACTTAAATGTGGACAGTGAGAGGGAACTCACGAAATTCACTTTAGCACACAAGCCTCAAAGTATGCCAGTCAAATTCTTACCTCAGCTAAATAACAAAAGACTACATGTTGCAAAATTTCCCAGCTGCTCAGGAAAATTATAAATATAAAATCCATAACCATCAAAAGTCTGACGTAACGCAAACTGAGGTCTACTCAGTTTCAAAAGCCATGATTTTTTTCCCCATCCCCTTTATTTCCCTATGAGGAAAAAAATGAACACTACGCATCATCCACAACGCTTACCTTGTTCCAGTTCCGAAACAAACTGAGCTGTTCTCAAAGCACAGTCTTAGAAGCATGTTGTCCCAACCTCCATTTCCAATCTGGCCTAATTCAACCTTTTTCAGGTAATAAGGAGTTCCCACACTCTTAGAGATCGATGTTCCACTACTGTCAAGTAAAATGTGAACATGCAACAGGCCTGACGGCCCACTTTAACAGCAAACTTTCTCCAAACTCAGCTACCTAGGGAGCCAGGATCATGGCAATATTACTAAGACCTGCCACATTTCTTCTGCCTCAGAGCCAGTAGCCCTCTGAAACAGAAACAGAGAAGCAGAAACAGAGGAGCCCTCTCCACTTTCAAACCTGTGAATGCAGGATTGGGAGCTGAGGGTGAGCAGGGGAGGGGCTGCTCTGCATGGTCCCACTCCCAGGCTCCTCTTTGGATGCCTGTAGAATGACTGGGTCGTTGTCACCACTGCTGCTGGCCGAGGGGCTGGCGTCCGGCTGCAGGGCATGCTGGGAGCTGGCCTCATTCTGGGCCACCGGCCACCGGGACCCGCCTTCCAGGGCCCGGGGCCCACTAGGGCGTCCCAGTCTCCGCTCAGGTCCACTGGCCTCTGGAGCACCTTAAGTAAGGTAAAAACAGTAGAAATTAGATTTTAAAAGATTAAAGAATCTTTTAAAAAACTACGAGTCACATAAAGAATAAAGATAAATGAAGACAGTGATTATACCCTACATTTCTTGAGCATCTACTATGTGTCAAATACTAAGTGCTTACTTGATGTGTTCTATAATCCTCACATCTACCCTATGAACCAGGTACTTTTCATGCTATAATAAATGTTTATTTAGTTCCTTCTACATACTGAGGACAAAACCATACAGAAAAGACCCCTGACCTAAATGGAGCTTACACTCTAATATTTCCTTTATTTTATAAAGGAGAAGATCAGAACATAACAAGGTCAAATGGTTTGCATAAGATCACACAGTAAGGAAGTGGTAGAAAGAGACCTTAAACCTAGGTGATCTGATGCCAAAATGATGGCGAGTATGCTACTCTCCTTGGTAGAGTCAGGATGATCAGATCTTTCTCTAACCATAGCCCCAATTGTGTTCTTGCACCACTATTTTCAAACCACAAGTCATTAACCTAAAATTTCTCTAATTACCTCAAACACTTCTCCCATTAGCACCAATACACAACACGGTATCTGCATCCTCACCTGTGTGAGCTGAGACCACACTCCCTGTGAAAGTCTGTACTTCCACGGTGCCGCCGTACTGAGGGGAATCACGCCTGAAACAAACAGAAGGGGAGACAGCAACAGTGAGGAACCAATCCATATTTACCAACATCCATCAAAGCCTTCTTTACACCAGCTTTGAAGGCTTTTAAATATACCCAAATCAGTCTAAAGACTGACAAGAGTTATAGTAGTAGGAAAAGTTCACATTTCGGAAAAACGAAAGCAAAGTACACTTTGTGAAAACACAATTCCTTAGGGACATAAAATTCTGGCTGGGGGGGAGAACAGGGAAGTGAAGAAAAAAAAGTTTAAAAAGCTTAAGTGTAAAAGGCTCCAACTACTCAGTGGAGGGCAAATAATGCAAAAAAAGCTGTCACATCCAGAAGCTCAAAAGGCGCTGGCTGCCTGGGAGCCTGCTCACCTTTCCAGTGAGAGCTGAACACAGTCACAGGAGAATCCACCCTTCCTCAGGGCAGGGCCCTGTGCCTGCTGTACCTGGACCGTAAGACACTTCCCCAAGCACAAGAACTACAGCAAGAGACTAGAGGAGCACTCAGATATGAGGAAGGGCGCACAGCCAAGCACCAGACCCCGGAAACAGGTAGAGTAAATCCACACAAGGCCCGGAAGTGTTTCCTCAGTTTAAGGAAATTCCTTTACCACGGTGCTGCCTTTGATTCACTCCCTCCTCCACAACAGATTCCCAGGACCCAAGCTAACCAGAATCCAAGAAGCCTGAACTCTTGACCCCAGGCTTCATTACTGTCTCCCAACTCCTCCCAACAGACTGACCCAGCGTGACCCCTGACCTCTGTCCCAAGTTGCCACCAGCCCTAAGATAGCCCCGCCCCCTCCTAGACTCCCACCCCACCCAACGTGTGCGACAGGCTGGGGGGAGGGGCCCGCGCGTGCGCGGCTGGAGGCGGAGTGAGCCGGCTGCGCGCACCGCCTGGGGGCTCCCGCCAGAACCCAAACCCACGCACACGAGGGTCGCAGGGCTGAAAAGCCTGCCTGTCAGGGAGCCCCCCCACCACCACCAGACCGAGAAAAGCTGAGATAAGGGAGGGTTTGTGCCGCCAGGTCCTGGTCCCTGACTGGATATGGTGGGCACGCGCCCCGACTACTTGTCCCACGCCCCCCCTCCTCTTCCCGCGCGTCCCTGACGGGGGAGGGGGGGTGCTGGGGTTGGTGGGCGGGCAGGAGCGCACCTGGGTCTGTCCTCTCAGGGCTCGCTCGCTCGCTCAGGCACGCGTGCGCAGATGGGCGGGAGGGGAGAGGAGACGCGCCTGGGCCCAGTGCCGGCCGGCCTGGCCCCTCTCAGCCAGTCTCTATGGGCGCGCGCCGACAGCCTCGCGCACCGGCCCCGGGGCCCCGGCCGAAGGTGCGCGCGCAGCACCCCGGGAAGGTGGGAGGGGAGGCGGTGGCGGAAAGATGCGCGCGCAGTCACCCGTCAGGGGAGGGGGAACTGTGGAGCGTCCGCCATCTTGTCTCCCTCTCCTTACCTGCGTCCTCGGGGGCGTGGGCACCACCCCCCCTCCCGCCGAGGAGCGGGGAGGGCCCCCTCTTGGCCGCCGCCTTCGCGGCCTTTAAATTCCCCTGGGGCCCGTGGCTACTGCCACCGCCTTGCTTCCACTGCCTCCTCTCACGGCACAGAGATGCGGGCGGTGGGTGGGAAAAATGAGAGACGCTACTGCCAGCGAACCGCCGCCGCCGCTTCCGAGGCCTCACCAAAATGGCCGCCGCCGTCTCGGCCGCCACCACCAGCACCACCACCACCCCAGCTCACTATCGCTACCGCCGGCGCGGCCCGTCCTCTCGCGAGAGACAGTAGCTGGAGGTTGGGGGAGCGGGAAAGCTCGCGTGCTAGCGTAGGGCGCTGCCCAAAGGGCAAGGCAGGCTGGGAGATGTAGTCAGCCGGAGGCTCCGCCGCTGCCCCGAGGCAGAGCATCGTTATCCTGCGACACAGAAGCTGCCGCTGAGGCTGCGTTGCGGCTGCCAACTCGGACCAGTCCCTCCTCTTTTAGTAGATCACCCAGAGAGCTGAAGAAATTTGTTAGATACTTTCAGCAAATTAGCATTGGAGCCTGGGCCTCTGGATTCCCACAGCAGTCCACTTAGAGATGCTTCGTTTTACGTGAGGGTGGTATTCTCGATAGCTCCCAAGCACCTATGCCATCTGTTGGCTAACCTTCTAGGTTAAGAACCCCTTTGAGGGGCCTGCCCTGTGGAATAGTGGTTAAGTTGAGCACGCTTTGCTTTGGAGGCCTGGGTTCCCAGTCAGGATCCCAGGCAGGGACCTACACTGCTCATCAGCCATGCTGTGGCTGTGACCAGCATATGAAGCGGAGGAAGATTGGCGCAGATGTTAGCTCAGGGCTAATCTTCCTCAGAAAAAAAAGAAAGAAAGAAAGCCCTTTGAGAATCTGATACCATCACCCCAGAATAGGATAAGAGTAACAGACACCTGTACTGAGGCGACTTTGTGCACTGGTTATCTCTTTTAATCAGAACAATGCTCCATTTTACAAATGAATTGAGGCTCATAGATTAACTACTGACGGAACCCAAAGCCAAGATTCCTAGCAAAGCCGTCTAAGTCCCAAGGATACACACTCTCACAAAATTTGCCACCTCAGCCCACCCCAGGAGCCAGGTTAAAAAGCCCTAATAGGCCAGCTCGGTGGCGCAGCAGTTAAGTGCGCACATTGCACTTTGGTGGCCCAGGGTTCGCTGGTTTGGATCCCCAGGTGTGGACCTGGCACCCCTTGGCACGCCATGCTGTGGTAGGCGTCCCACATATAAAGTAGAGGAAGACGGGCTCGATGTTAGCTCAGGCCAGTCTTCCTCAGCAAAAAAGAGAAGGATAGGCAGCAGTTGGCTCAGGGCTAATCTTCCTCAAAAAAAAGCCCTAATAAAGCTCTCATCATCCACTCAGTTTAGCTCTTCCCTGTTCTACTTCAAGAGTTGATCATTGTCTCTGTGTGTCATTGATGTAAAGTCTTGTTTTCCTTACGGCAACGACCAGGTGTTGAAAACTCAAAAACCTAAATGGGCTAGGAAGGTAATGTAAATAAAGCAAAAAGGGCAGGTGAGGAGAGTGAGGAACAGGAGGCCATATGCTCTGTCCAAAAGGAACAGCCACTGTTCAAACCCCTATTCCAGTGGTCACCTTACAGGAAGGTCTAAGGGTGAGATTCAGCCCACAGGCTCCCAATTTGCTACCTCTGGCCTCTGCTGGAGCCTCAAGGCATATAGAAGCTCCCAGGACAGATTGATTGAATAAGTGGATGGATGCCCATCCATTTAGGCCCAGTTCAGGGCTTTTTTTCAGGCCAAGCTTACATATTTCTGAAAACCCCCATCATAGAACCACGCTGAGCTCCCAAGAGATCTTTTGCCTCTTGGCCCTCCCATATACACTTTCATCCTTTCTCAACTATTTGTCCTTTGAAATCCAGCTCAAGAGCCACACACACATAAAATCAAAACAAGAATAATATTTTGTGATATGTGAAAATTATATGTAATTCAAATTTCAGTGTCCATAACTAAAGGTTTATTGACGCCCAACCATGTCCATTCATTTACATAGCATCTATGGCTGCTTTCCTGCTACAAGAGCAGAGCTGAGTAGTTGCAACAGAGTCCATAGGCCCACAAAGCCTGAACTATTTTCTGTCTGACACTTCGCAAAAAAGTTTGCTGGGCCAGTCCCAGTGGCCTAGTGGTTAAATTTGGCACACTCTGCTTTGGCAACTGGGTTTGGGTCCCCAGCCATGGACCTACACCACTCCACTGTCAGTGGCCATGCTGTGGTGGCAGCTCACATACAAAAAGAGGAAGATGGGCAGTGGATATTAGCTCAGGGAAAATATTCCTCAGCAAAAAAACAAAAAGTTTGCTGATCCCTGTTCTAAATCTTGATCTGGATGAGGTCACAACCATAGATATAAACATGCAAACATTCACTGAGCTGTGCACTTAAAATTTGTACACTTTACCTACCTCACAGCATGTGTTTTATACTTAAATTTTAAAAACAAAACAACCCTACAGGATACGACCCCTGTCTACTTTTTTTTACCTCATTTATCCATTGCTTACTATACTATAGCCATCATGCCCTTCTCCAAACCATGCATCAAGTTCCTTTCTGCTTCCAGAGCCTTCATCTTTGTTGTTCCCTCTGTCTGAAATTTTTTCTCATGGCTAACGCTCCCTTTTCATGAAAGTCTTATTTCAAACATTGCCTCCTCAGAGAAGTCCCCTGACGTTAAAGAGCACTTTCACTGCCAGTCACTCTCTGGCAACGCTTACCTGAAATTATTAATTTATTTGTATGTTTGTTTATTGTCTGCCCCCCTCCCTACTAAAAGAAAAGCTCCCTGAGAGTAGGGACATTGTCACAGGGTTCACAGTGCTCTCTAGATAATTACTGAATGAATGAAAAACATTTCAAACAATGCTGTGAAGAAGAGATTGTTGGTTCCATTTTATGAATGAAATTTTGGTTGAATGAAAAGTGGATGAAAACTCAAGATGGTCAAAATGCCAGTTCTTTCCAAGTTGATCTGTAGATTCAACGCAATCCCAATCAAAACCCCAGCAAGTTATTTTGTGAATATCAACAAACTGATTCTAAAGTTTATATGGAGAGGCAAAACACCCAGGATAGCCAACACGATATTGAAGGAGAAGAATAAAATTGGAAAAGTGACGCTACCTGACTTTAAGACTTGCTGTAAAGCAGCAGTAAGCAAGACAGTGTGATACCATTGAAATAGACAAAGAGATCAATGGAACAGAATAGAGAGCCCAGAAATAGACCCACATAAATATGGTCAACTGGTCTTTGACAAAGGAGCAAAAACAATACAATGGAGCAAAGATAGTCTTTTCAACAAATGGTGCTGAAACAACGGGACAGCCACATGCAAAAAAGTGAATCTAGACCCGGACCTTACGCCCTTCACAGAACTTAATTCAACATGGATCACAGACCTAAATGCAAAGCTCAAAACTATAAAGCTCCTGGAAGATAAACATAGGAGAAAACCTAGGTGATTTTGGATATGATATGGTGACTTTCTAGATACAACACCAAGGCCACGATCCATGAAAGAAATAATTGATAAGCTGGACTTCATTAAAATTAAAAACCTGCTCTGTGAAATACAGTGTCAAGGGACTGAGAAGACAAGCCAGGCTGAGAGAAAATATTTGCAAAAGACACATCTGATAAGGACTGTTTTCTTTTTTTTTTTTTACAGATTTTCTTTTTCCTTTTTCTCCCCAAAGCCCCCCAGTTCATAGTTGTGTATGTTTAGTTGTGAGTCCATCTAGCTGTGGCATGTGGGACACCACCTCAGCATGGCCCAATGAGCGATGCCATGTCCATGCCCAGGATTCAAACTGGCGAAACTCTGGGCCACCGAAGCGGAGCGCGTGAACTTAACCACTCGGCCATGGGGCCGGCCCCAGGACTGTTTTCTAAAATGTACAAAGAACTCTAAAAACTCAACAATAAGAAAACAAACAACCCGATTAAAAAATGGGCCAAAGACCTTTACAGACACCTCACCAAAGACACCAAAGAAGATATACAGGTGGCAAATAAGCATATGGAAAGATGCTTCACAGCATATGCCATCAGGGAAATGCAAATTAAAACAACAAAGAAATACAATTACTCATCTATTAGGAGGGACAAAATCCGGAATACTGATAACACCAAATGCTGACAAGGATATGGAGCAGTGGGAGCTCTCATTCATTGCTGGTGGGAATGCAAGATGGTACAGCCACTTTGGAAGACAGTTTGGTGGTTGCTTACAAAAATAAACATACGCATACTCATATGAACCAGCAATCATCAGCTTTCAACTCCCAAAGGAGTCGAAAACTTATGTCCATACAAAAACCTGCACACAGATGTTTATAGCAGTTTTATTCATAATTGCCGGAACTTGGAAGCAACCACAATGTCCTTCAGTAGGTGAATGGAGAAATAAGCTGTGGTACATCTAGACAATGGAATATTATTCAGCACTAAAAAGAAGTGAGTTATCAAGCCATGAAAAGACATGGAGGAATCTTAAATGCATATCACTAAGCGAAAGAAGCCAATTTGAAAAGGCTACATACATACAGTATGATTCCAACTCTATGACATTCCGGCAAAGGCAACACCGTGGAGCCAGTAAAAGGATCATTGGTTGCCCAGGGTTTGCTGCAGAGGGGCTGGGGGAAGAAGGAATGACTGGGAGGAGCACAGGATTTTTAGGGCATACATACTCTGTATGATACTATAATGGTGGATACATGTCATGGTACATTTGTGCCAATCTCTAAAATGTACAAGACCAAGAGTGAACCATAATGCAGACTATGGATTTTGGCTGATTATAATGTGTCAATGTAGGTTCAACAATTCTAACAAGAGTACCACTCTCATGGGGGATGTTGATAATGGGGGAGATTGCATGTACAGGGACAAGGGGCATATAGGAAATCTTTGTACCTTCCCCCCTCAATGCTGTGAACCTAAAACTGCTATAAAAAAAAATAAAGTCTTCATTAAAAAAAAGTGAATGATGCCTATGGTTTTACACCCTCCTCCCTTCTCTCTTGGAAGACAGCATGCCAAGCCAGAGCCTGAATGGATTGGATCTAGCCTGTGCTATTAATCCCCTGTTATGTGACCTTGAGCAATTCGCCTCACTTCTCTGAGCCTCACTTTCCTCATCCATAAAGTAGGGATAGGGTTGCTGATGTAAAATTGCTTTGAAAGCTCTAAAAGAGCTACCTAAAGGCAGGGACATATTTTGGACCTATATTTCAGAGTCCCAAGTTTAGCTTTCAGATGTGCTTTACATAGTGTTTTAATGTTCTGAGTATTATTAATACTTTAGGCAGGAGAATGAAGTCTCCTACTTGCCAGAGGCCCCTCGATTCCTAATTGTTTTGCGCTGGGCAAATTCACACATTTGTCATGTATGTCTGGCTCCTGAAGGCAGTTGAATTTGCGACATCTTGTTCCTACATGAGTGGTAGTGGGTGCACTCTCCTGACCAGCATTTCCTCTGCCCTCTGAGTCTCAGGCCCTGTGCTGGGTGAAATGGGAGAGACAGGAGAAAAGATGATATGGTTCCTTCTCTCAAGAATCTAGTCTCACTTTGGAATGAGCTGTGAGTTTGCTAAAAGTCAGGGCAGAGTGTTTTGATGCCATGGGAGAAGGTGGTCAAGGGTCAGGTCAGACCCAGCGGGGTAGCAGGGAAGGCTTGAGCCTGGCTTTGGGAAATTTAGGCATGAAGGGTAGGCATTTCAGGAAGATGACACAGCCTCAACAATGCTGAGAATTGGGGGACAGTGAATAGATCATCTTATCTTCTTTATGAGGGAGAAGATTGAGACAGTTAGATATGTCTCCTGGAGTGAGGTGGCCAAAGGCCCAGCATGCCTTTGTTCAGAGGTGACAAGGAGCTATTGAAAAGTTGTTGAGCAGGAATTGGCGTGGTCCAGGCTCCACTTTCCAAAGGATGATCTAACAGGATGTATAGAATGGCTGTAAAGACAGCTGTAAGGCTGGAGACAGGCCACAGCAATTACTCGGTTGTAATGTGGGCTACTGGCCAAGAGGTGGCAGTGGAGATAGAGGGAGAGACGCTGTAGAGGAAGAATTAGCAGAACTTGGCAGACAGTTGACTGCTAGTGGTAATGATCCTCCAAACAGCCTTTGTGGCCTTCTGTGAGGCCAGCCTTTCCCAGTCTCCTCTTCCCTCCTACCTCCCTGTCCGCTCTTTCTGGGTCTCCCTTACAGGCCACTTCTCCTGGACCCCTCCATCAATTGTAGGGGTTCCTCAGGATTGCTTCCCTCAGTTGCCTTCTTTCATCCAACACCTTGTCAAGGACAGAGGCAGATTCGCTGAAGCTAATGAAGCTTAAGCTTCATGGGCCTCCCTTACAGGGACCCTTCATTGCTAGAAGTATCTGGGGATTATGGAACAGTCTAGATGAGGTGGAGAAACCAGGTTGCAACCTGAAAGTATTTACCTATAAGCACTTCTGGTAATTTGCCTAAATATATCTCAGAAGAAAAAGGCATTAACCTCTAAGCCTCTAGTAACTTGTCATGGTTTCATTGTGCATTACAATTACCATCTCTTAAGCCAAGGACTTGGGTTCCCATCTGTCTAACTCCTGGATTCCTCTTGCAGACATGCCAGGCACGTCGGACTCAGACATCCAAAACTGAGCTCATGATCTGAACCACAAAATCTGCTATGAGGCGGTGGCACCACCGTCCACCCAGCTGCTCAAACTAGAAATGTAGGTATCACCTTCCCTTTCCCTCACACCCCACATCCAGCCACCAAGTCTTGTCCATTACATCTGCAATATTTCTCCGTTCTCTCTATTTCTCTCCAGACCCACACCCAATCCTTAGCCCTTGATGACTTATAATCAGTGACGGTACCAAGAACTGACTTGTTGGGACTGCTGGGACTTTAACCCTCTCTCCCCGCCACCATTATCTCCAACTGCCTCCCCACCCCATTCTTTGATATGGAAAATTGCTGTTTTCTCAGTCTTATGTAAAGTGATATGCAAATGAAGCTTCATGCTGAGTCAAGTCCTCTGGCCACCTGCTCTCTACCAGCTGGACAGCTGCTCCTAACCCTCCTAGCAAGTAAAAATTCCAGAACTTGGGCCATCTGCATCAACCTCCTAATCGGTCTCCCTGCGGCCAGTCTCTCCTGCTCCCTAAAGTCCCAGCTCTTGCAGGGGTTCCATTCCAATGGGGGAAAACAAAGAACAAGCATGAGAGTGTGATACGATGTCAGGGACTGATGAGGGCTCAGTCCTCTCGTCAAAGATGGAGTGGGGCAGGGGAGATGCCATTTTTAGACAAAGTGATCTCTGGTGAGGTGACAGCTGAACACAGACTTAAGAAAGTCTCTCCACACAGCAGCCAGGGAAAACTTTTCTGACTGCAAAGCTGACACTCACTCTACTTCAAGTCCTTTCATGGCTCCCATGAAACTCCTTTCTAAGGCCCCCAAAGCCCTGGATGGTGGGCCCCTGCCAAACTCTCCAGCCTCATCTCTCCCAACTCTCTACACTCCAGCCACACTGGTCTTCCCACTGGTGTCTCTTTACAGGCTCTTTCTCCACTCTGGCCTTTCTCGCACGTGGTTCTCTCTTTTCTTTCCACCCAGTCAAAACCTACAGGGTAACACTGCTACCTCCAGAATTCTTCCCTGGCCCTCAGACTATGTTATATCTCCTATAACATCCTGTGCTTTTTTGCCTTTTAGGACTTTTACACTAGGAATAACTACTTGAGTTCCTGAAGGCTCATGGTAAGTGAGGGGTCACATCTGTCTTATCCACTTCTGTGCATATGTCTAGACCCATGGTTTGGGGGACAGCCAGGAATATACTAAGTATCAGTAGACAGGGTTGGGTTGACATCTGCATGCGTGCATGATAGTAATAACTTATATGTGATAAATTCTCTCAAAAATTATAATAACGACAAACACTAAGTACAAACAGTAAGCACTAAGCATTTGTGTTTTTACACAAATTAGTTCACTTAATTCTTACCCTATTAAGTAGATTATCATCCCCTTTTTACAGATGGTAAAAACATGGTTAAAGAATTGTCCCAAGTGACACAGCTGGAAAGCAGTAGAGCAGGGACTTGAACCCAGAGAGACTGACCTATGTGTGAGCCCTTAACTGCTGTGCAGGACACCCTATTAAATCCAGGTCTATGATGTGCCAGGCATTATTCTTGGCACCAGGGAGATAATATTGGAAAAATAAACAAGTAAAACTACTCACAAAGTTCCAGTTTTTATCAAGTTTACATTCCTGGTGGGGGAAGACAAAGAAAAAACATATAAAAAAGTGAAAGCATAGGGGACGCCCTGGTGGTGTAGTGGTTAAGTTCACACACTCCACCAGGGTTCACAGGTTCAGATCCCAGGCACAGACCTATACACCACTCATCAAGCCATGCTGTGGCTGGCATCCCACATACAAAAAATAGAGGAAGGTTGGCACAGTTGTTAGCTCAGGGCCAATCTTCCTCACGAAAAATAATTATAAGTGAAAGTATAAAATAATGATGGGTAATATATGTTATGAAAAAGTAAAATGGGGGGCTGGCTCAGTGGAATAGTGGTTAAGTTCGCATACTCTGCTTTGGTGGCCCGAGGTTCTCAGGTTCAGATCCCAGGTGCGGACCTAGCACCGCTCATCAAGCCATGCTGTGGTGGCATGCCACATAAAATAGAGGAAGACTAGCACAGATGTTAGCTCAGGGCTAATCTTCCTCAAGCAAAAAGAGGAAGATATGCAACAGATGTTAGCTCAGGGCCAATCTCCCTCACAAAAAAAAAGAAAAGTAAAGCGGATTTGGGGAGAGAGAGTAGGGGGCACAGGAGGTGCTAGTCTAGACAAGGTGGTCTGGTAAGACCTTTCTGGTGTGGTGACATTTGAGCAGAGAATGCTTTGGGGGAAGAGCATTCTAAGCAGAGGTAAATAAGTTCAAAGACTCCAAGGCTGGCCCAGCTTATCCTGACAGCAAACAACCAGGAGGTCCAGGAGGCTGCAGGGGACAGGGGAACAGTAGTAGATGAGGTCTGAGAGGAGCATCAGGCCTGAATCCAGCAAGGCTTTGAAGGCCAAGCTAAGGAGTTTAGATGGAACTCTAAGTGTGGCTGGAGAAGGACTTTGAGCAGAGGCTAGTGCTGAGAATGGACTGTAAGTGTAACATTAGAAGGCAATTGCTGTAGTCTAGGTGAGAGGCGATAAAGACTGAAATTTTTAAGTAGAACGGGAACCTGGGGGTAGGGTTGCCAGATTTAGCAAATAACTCTTATGGGGACCTCTGGGAGGGGCCTCAGGGAGGCAGCTGTAGAGTAACTGAGGTCCCAGTAGGCTAGGACAGCGTGGGGAGCTGCTACAATTCCTCTCTATTCTCTAGGAGGCCTGTGAACTTCTGAGAACACAGCCAAGACAGAGCCTTCACAGGTGGAATCCAGCACATCTTAAGCATACACACCCATCAAAAATATCCCCAAGCCTAGGGGGCGGCCCAGTGGCTCAGCAGTTAAGTTCGCACATTCCGTTTTGGCGGCCCAGGTTTGCTGGCCAGGATCCTGGGTGCAGATCTACCCACTGCTTGTCAAGCCATGCTGTGGCAGGCATCCCACATATAAAGCAGAGAAAGATGGGCACGGATGTTAGCTCAGGGCCAGTCTTCCTCAGCAAAAAGAGGAGGATCGGCTGCAGATGTTAGCTCAGGGCTAATCTTCCTCAAAACAAACAAACACAAAACCCAAAAAATATCCGCAAGCCTAAAAGAAGGAAACTAAAATCATGACACCCAGTTCTAGGAAGGGTGTGGGAAGACAGGCACTCATATGCTGCTGGGTGGAGTATAAATGTGCACAATCTTTGTGATTTGAATTTTTAAAAGACTATTTTCTTTATTTTTTTTTCTGCTTTATCTCCCCAAATCTGCACCCACCCCACCCCCCGCCGTACATAGCTGTATATCTTAGTTGCAGGTCCTTCTAGTTGTGGCATGTGGGATGCCACCTCAATGTGGCCTGACAAGGGGTGCCATGTCCGCGCCCAGGATCCGAACTGGCGAAACCCTGGGCTGTCGAAGCACATTGCAAGAACTTAACCTCTCGGCCACAGGGCCAGTCCCAAGACTATTTTCTTTAAAAAATGTTTTAAATTTAAAAAATATGTTTTGCCCCGGAAATTCCACTTTTGGAAATTTATTTTAAGGAGTGAATCAGAAAAATGAACAAATATGCATGTACAAAGATATTCATCATAGCATTTTAAAACATTTATTTATGTTTATAAAAGCAAAAAAATTTGGACATGATATAAAGGTTCAACAGAAGAAAAATAGACAATGATATGAGGAAGTAGCGGTGGGCTGGCCTGGTGGTGCAGTGGTTAAGATCATGTACTCTGGGTAAGTTTGGCAGCCTGGGGTTCTCCAGTTCAGATCTGGGGCATGCACCTACCCACCGTTTATCAAGCCATGCTGTGGCAGGCGTCCCACATATAAAGTAGAAGAAGATGGGTGCAGATGTTAGCTCAGGGCCAATCTTGCTCAGCAAAAAGAGGAGGGCTGGCAGTGGATGTTAGCTCAGGGCTAATCTTCCTCAAAAAAAAAGTGAAAAAATAAAAAAGAAGTAGTCAGTAGACAAGCAAATTCAAATGACCAATAAATATACTGAAAAGATGGACACCTTCATGAATAATTAGGGAAATATAAAAGTGATGACACAACCATTTTACAGAGCAAAGAGGACTTTGCCTATCTCTGTACAGTTGTGTTTTGTTTAACAATTCTGCACCCCTGCAGTGCATCTTAGTGCCCAGATTATGGTCTCTAAAAGGAACTAGGGCTGGTTGTGAAAAAGGACAAGTCTATGTGTAGGGATAGAAGGTACAAGGCGAGCCTGGAACATCTTATTGAGCTAGGAAGCAAGGAATTTTCAAAGGTTAATGGAGTCTTGTTGGAAACACACAAGAACCTTTGCACAAGGGCTCCCCCGGCCAACGCTAAGACCATTGAAACCTCAGAAGGAGAATATTGGGCTGAGGTCAATATTGGAAGTGGTTCATTAAAGTATTCACAAAAGAGTGAACATAAAGTACTATATTCTAAAAAAGGTGAATAGAATAAAATACATGCTATTTTGTTGTCTTGTTAGTAAAAAAAAGAGAAAGGGAGCAAAAAAAAGTAACAGAATGTGTGATTGTTGATTCCAGGAGAGTGGCACACAAGTGTTTGTTATACTTATTTTTTTTCAACTTGAAAACAATTTAGAAATGTTTCTAGGGTCGAGGTAACGCAAGTGTTTGCTTTATAATTACTCTTCAAAAAGTATATATATTTTATACATTCTTCTTATGTGTTATATTTTACAATTAAAAAGTTTTTTTTTTTTAATGTGCAGCGGCAAGAGATTGTTTGATTAAATTACAGTACAGCTGTTATAATGGCGTAATGTGCAATCATTAGAATGACGTACTGAGGGGGCCGGCCCTCCGCCTATGCACTCTGCGGGGGTCCAGGGTTTCGCCGGTTCGGATCCTGGGTGCGGACGTGGCACCGCTCGTCAGGCCACGCTGAGGTGGCGTCCCACATGCCACAACTAGAAGGAACCACAACTAAAATATACAACTATGTACAGGGGGGCTTTGAGAGAGAAAAAGGAAATAAATAAAATCTTAAAAAAAGAGAATGATATACTGACATGGAACATATTGGAAACAGCAGGGTACAGGGTATATTTTGTAAGATTCCAATTTATAAATTGAGAGGATGAATACGTTTGTATAGACACAGAAGGAAATATGAGAGAGTGTTCACCTTGTTGGATGGGGTTCTCTCTGGGTGGTAGGATTTGGGGATAATTTCAACTTTTCTGTATGCTTGTCTGAATTTTTTAAAATTTTCATCACATGCAGGTATCATCACTATAAAAGTAATATACTATAAAAATCCAAACCACCTCAATCCAATCTCTGTAGATACTCTGAACAGAGTTTACTGACTCTCCTCATAGACAGTTTTTTTCAGACCTTTATACACACATTTTCTTTTTTTAACAAAAATGAGATGATACTGTGCATATTGTTCTACAACTTGCATATCTCATCTAGCAACACAGTTATAGAGAGATTTTCTTTATAAATCACACTTGTATAAAGAGAGAAAAGTTACAATTATTTCTGGGTTTGGAAAAAAATGATACTGCAGTTGTATATTATTGACATGATAAAATGTGAAAAAAACTAATGTATAATAAGATTGCACTTTGTAAAAATAAATGCCTAAATAAGCAAACAAAAAAGCAGACAAAAAGTTTAAAAGAATATACCACAAACTGTTAAATGTGACTATCTTGTTGAGGATGAAAAGGCAAAAACTGTGATATTTTCTTTTTTATATTCTTCTGTGTTTTCTTTAAAAACATTTTTTTGTTTGAGGAAGATTGGTCCTGAGCTAATCCTCTGCCACCAATCCTCCTCTTTTTGCTGAGGAAGACTGGCCCTGAGCTAATATCCATGCCCATCTTCCTCTACTTTGTAATGTGGAACACTTTCCACAGCATGGCTTGACAAGTGGTGCCATGTCTTCACCCAGGACCCGAGCCTGCGAACCCCAGGCTGCCGAAGTGGAACGTATGGACCTAACTGCTGTGCCACTGGGGTGGCCCCCTAAAACCCCCTTTTTTTTTTTTTTGCAGTGAGCATAAATCTTTTTAATTTATGACTTTCCCCCCAGCTTTATTGAGATACAGTTGACATATAACATTGTTTTGAACGTTTAAAATAGACTTTTTTTAATTATAGAAGTAATGTGCTTGCTCTTTGTAAAAAATAAAATCCAGTATTAGAAAGTGTAAACCAAAAAGTATATCCTTCCCTTGGGGCCAGCCCAGTGGTGCAGCAGTTAAGTTCGCGTGTTCCGCTTCGGCTGCCCGGGGTTCGCCAGTTCAGATCCCGGGTGCGGACCCAGCCCCCCTTGGCAGGGCATGCTGTGGCAGGCGTCCCATGTATAAAATAGAGGAAGATGGGCACGGATGTTAGCTCAGGGCCAGTCTTCCTCAGCAAAAAGAGGAGGATTGGTGTCAGATGTTAGCTCAGGGCTAATCTTCCTCAAAAAAAAAAAAGAAAGTATGACCTTCCCTTCACCTTCTCAATTCCACTCCCCAGAGAAGTACCTAGTGTCAACAGCTGCTTGCATTTGTTCAGAAATTTTCCACGAATACGTATGTCTTTTGTGACTACAAATGATATACTGTATATGTTGTTCTCCATCATGCATAGTATCTTTCCAGGTCAATATATATAGATTTATCTCCTACTTTTAAATAGCTATGG